GTCGCTTTCTTTCTACTGAAGTAGATGGAGTACCTTTGTGGCTTTACAACGCAAAAATATCGATTTACAGCTGTTAGCATAAGGGTACAAATTGATACCCCAGTCCAGAAGAATTGAATACAACCTGCAAACTGGGCAAAATTATAACCAAATGGCCACCTACGTAAGCCAGAGGCGATTGCTCTAAAAGGAAAAGGAAAGGTCGCTGCAATCACGTCAGCCACTGCCAGAGATATCACGTAAAGGTTAGTGATAGTTCGTAATCTCCTGTTTCTGTAGAGAGCGAGAAAAACGAGCAAGTTTCCAGCTAGTGCCAAAAGTGTCGTAAGCCCGTAAGAAACTGTATGCGTGACGACAATTGTCAAGCTTCGTGTATCCTCCTCTATTTGTACCATTCTTTGGTGACACGAAAGGTTAGACAGCTGGCTACAACAAGCTACTAGCTAGTATAACTAAAAACACAAGTGATGAAAAGGATTACCGCTTCAACTGTTAGTAGCCGTTCCTGCTCCCTCGTGGACTTATCATCCCCAATCTTGCGAGAATAAACAAGAGCTAATTCCCCTCAGATTTAATCAGACTATTCTTTTGGAAGTAATAGTTCTTCTCCCGTAGAAAAATTGGCAGTATAACATTTTTTCGACCAATAGAGAGCATATTTAGGCTATTTAAGTGACGATCGTGCAGCAAGCTGTTATTAGTTTGAAACTAATTCCTTACCTGACTTGAATCAGTGACAAAGCGTCTTTGATAGCTCATCTACTTACCATATAACTGGAACTTAACTCAACAGACTTAATCGGTGCGTTGGTACTGCACGTATTAAACAGACTCTAAAATCATTTGTCGAAGCTTTGTTATAACAAGTGTTTTGATCCAAGTTGCATCTCATTGTGCATGAAAATTGGTTCAAAATAGATAAAAACGATTTTCTTATCTTCTCCAACATGCTGCCATAGTCAATAGCGTGAAATAGCACAATATATCGTACGAAAAACTATCAATCAACAATTGTAGACCACGCTATATCACAGGGTAACGTGTAAACAATGATTCCTCCAGAAGTCCCCATCTGAATATTACTTACTAAGAGCACAGCAGTTTTATATCAAGGGAAATAAACAAAATGAAAATTTCATTGAATTTTATATTGCATAATCTTCGAACCTTCCTACAAATAATACATTTAAAAAGTATAGATGAATACAAATTGTTTTTTGTAGCATAAAGCTGCAGCCATCATTCTGTTAATTTTTGGCAACGTAGTAGTTTCAGAGATTTTTTCTCATGACTCTATTCATGACACCGTATACAACAGTTTTTATTCAGCCACGAGACTAAGCAGGAGGATCGAAATTTCAACGAACGACGACTGCAATCAGAGTATAAACCTGCCATGAGCAACAGAAAGAAAGGAAAAATGCGGGAGACCGAAAAAACCACCTGGGGACGCAGGGTAAAAAAGATTTTCGAAATAGATAAAAAAGAAAAAAACAATGAAAAAAAATAATATGCGGAGGTCAAGGAAGGAAGCGGAAAGGGAGTCCTTGAGTGTACAGCAGCTGGTGACCAAGAGAAATTGATTTACTGAAGTTTGGAACTATAAACTGGGAAAGGAAATAATTTTTTAGAAATAAATGGCACTAAGATAATGATAACTTATATTTTATCGTATGCCTCTTAGAGATTACTTACACGGAAGGATGCAACGTGAGAGTGGCAAGAGGTTAGGCGAGGAGTACCACAAGGCAGTGTTCTTGGGAACAATATTTCTTATAAACGATTTATTCCTACAAATCAAAACTTTACAATTAAGCCTATATGTAGAGGATGGTCAACTCCACAACTCCAATGCGGATCCAGTATTTATGAAAGGGCGTGTCTCAAATGAGGTAAAAACTCAGCTAATGTCTGGTTCGAGTTCAACAGAATGATATCTAATCTTAGAAAAAACGAAGAGATGGTATTTAGAAACATTGACCGTCAGTTTAATTAGGGGGACACGATCGGAGGATTTGGTTTTGATACGACTAACTAAGCCATATTCATGGAATGAATCAACTTGACAAAGTGCTAAATATCAAGCAAAGAGGAGATTCTTACTTCGTAAGATCATGGGAAGAATAAAGAGTTCCTGTAATTGCAAAACTGGCACATAACAAGACAGAAACGATTTCAAGCAGTCCTCGAAGGCGCAGCCTAAAATTTAGAAAAAAGAACCAAATATTAAAGTGGCTTAAGCTTTGGAATAGAGGTAAACAATGATAGATTATGCTTGCTAAAAACACCAAATTTGGTGGAGTTTCCGTATCCTTTGCTTTAACGAATGCGATGGAAGATGTGGAACAACTGCTGGCCTTACTATCCGCAGCTTTAGGTTCATGCGTCTGCGGCAAAGTGACATTCAAGAATACTATAGGGCAAAGACTTAAATTACACTACAGCCAACTATCGACAACAATAATTACGATCACAAAGCGAAACATCAAACGGCAAAAGACAACGCAAAAAGTACCTGACGGTTCGGATAGAAGGAGCACACGAGATGCAGCAAAGAAACGATCATAGCACGACAAACTGCACAGCAGTACTGTTCTTTTCGTGTGAAAATTTCAATATAT